ACAGTAACCACGGTTTTAAGCAAAATTTTCCAGATTGTAAAAGAGGTATCGATTCCCCTGCTACAGGGAATCGATTCCCTCACTGTTCACTAGTCACGGGTACTATTCACTTTTTAAAAAAAATCTTTTGAATTAAATTGGTTATAATGAAACTTACTTTTTATGATATGGTATTTTTATAATATTAGTTACCATTTTAAGGAAATAAATTTTAAATCGCTCTCAAATTATGGAATGGTTTTTAGAAAATTCGGATAAAATCTATAATCTGTATAGGTATAATTATACGGGTTATGGGTGTTACAGTATCGATACTCAATGAATGGTATCGATACTCAGCCAAAAATCCTGATATTAGTCATTTATAATATTCTTAATGAGTCTTTATGAACAAGAATTCATTATAGAGCTAAACATCTCATATAATTATTTAACCAATATGCAACTCAAACTCTTACTAGTATAGGTTAACTTATTCACTTAGGCCCATAAGGGTATCAATAATTTTGCATGGTAAACAATTTCTTTATCACATTATTCATATACTACACCACCTCATTTGCAAGCATATCATCCACAATGATCTATCGTTTGCGAATATTCGATACATACTCCTTTAAGGGTACTTTTAGGTTTTCTTACTCACTAAGGGTATTTTGGTAATTTATGCCACCTACGAGACGTTTAGATCATTTCATAATTCAGGATCCTTTTCTAAGCTTAGTTGTACATTTTACAACAATCTATAACCATTTGGATGCAACGAGTGATGTTTTGAATCTTTTTATATTGAACAGTAAAAACACTCTACTAAGCAGTATGGGTACTCAAATAGTATTGATATGGGTCTCGATACGAGTATTGGTATTCCAAGAATAGTATTGATACGAGTATCAATACTACAACAACAATATTGATACTCATAAAAACAATATCGATACTACGACCCAGAAAACCCTAAATAAGGCTCGAGAATCACCCAAAACTCCTCTCAAACCCTTTAGTTTGATCCTAAATCAACAAATAAAGCTTAAGGAAGTGTTATAGGGTCATCTAACACCATAAAAACATGATCTTTACAACAATAACATCACTAGGATATGAATCAAGTAAAACCCCTGAATATGTTCAATACACAAATCCCCAACAAAGCTTCACGTTTAGGAAATTCATAACACAACAAAGGATTAGAAATACATAACACAACAAAGGATTAGAAATACACTACCTTAGTTTATGAATCCCGAAATGAAGCTCCTTTAGCTAGCTATCACTATTCTCCAAGACTTGGATGACAAACCCTTACTTTTTCTTGCACACAAAGAACCCAAGGCTTTGAATCATTAAAACAAAGTTGCTGGAGGAATTAGGAACGAAATTGAAGCTTAAAAGAATTATGAAATGACTCAAAGGACTCACCTTTAGCTATGAAACTTGGAGAAGATGAAGGAGAAGGAAATGAGAAGGATGAAATAAAGAGAAGAAGGTAAAATGGGATATAAAAGCGCTCATCTTTTTTTAAAAAGGCAAAATTGCACATTTGGTCCTACCTCATCTTTTATTATCCAAAAAACCCCTTTTTATAGTTAATTGATCCCAATTCCAACCCAATTAAGCCCAACTCGGCCCAACGACTTAAATTATAAAATTCACGGGATCCACATGCCTCTCGGGTAAACCTGAAATTACTAACCTGAAATTTGGGGTGTTACAATTGTTTTTGTACATAAAAATATCATCCAATGGATTTTTATGTTTAAAATTAACTCAGTAAGGTATATAAGCTTACTTTATTATTTAATGATTTTATGGCATCGATAATCTTAGTGGATTAAAATTGCATTTAGAGGTTGCAAGTCATCGTCATTTTAATTAGTATAAAGATCTTTTGCTAAAAATTTCAAAAATGGTGGCTATATAATCCTATGAGTATTTTATTAAATTTTGTGATAAATATGTTTAGTTTGTTAATTGTAAATTATGTGTTTAGTATTTAAATTATTAGTTTTGTTTATTTTAGTATCTAAAGTTTTATTAAAACATTTAATTTTTTATTTTATTTTAGTAAACCACCATTAAAAAAATTAACATAATTTTTTAATATTTTTTTAAACTTCCACATCAAAAATGTCATTGGGCTAGGCATGTTAATAGTAACTCATCATATTTTATATTTAATTCATACTCCATTATCACTGTAAAAAAAATTAACTAGAACTAAGACTCGAACCAAAGACCTCTCCCCAAGAAAAAAATAGTACCAATCGTTAAGTTAGTCTATGAAATTATTCGTATATCATTAATTTTATATTTAATTTATAAAATTGTTTAATTAAAGACTAACTTATTGAATTATTTAAAATATAAAACATTCTTTTCATTATAAACCAAATTATTTAATTAAAACTTAGATTATTTCAACTTTATTTTGTAATAAAAGATAATTAAATATAAAAATCATTATTAAACTATTTAAAAAAATAAATTTAAAATATTTATCTATGATATAATATAAACCTAAAATTAAATAAATATTAAAAATTATTTTAATCATAAAGAGTTTAAAAATTATATTTATTTAATTAATAGTAAATTAATAAAGGTTTTATGAAGTTAAAAATAGTGTTTATTTTAATGATTTAATATTTTTTATAGTTTATAATGAAAACTCTTTTATATTTTTTAAAAAATTAATAATTTAGTCTTTAATTAAATTATTATATAAATTAAATATATTTTTTATGTTATATAACGAATTTTATAAACTAGTTTAATAGTTGGACATTAATTTTTTTGGAGAGAAGTCCTAAATTTGAGTATTTTAATTAAACTTTCTTGTTTTGTGATGGTAGTGGAGTATAAATTAAGTATAAGTCGTGGCCAAGCCTTTGCTGCTTCCCTAGGTAGGTGTGTAGGGATGAGCATTGGACCTGCTCTCAACGGGTTCCTACCCGATCAGTTCTGATTTTTTTAAAAAATTGGGTTCAGTTCGGGTCAGGTTTTTTTAGTGTGATATTTGGGTCGGGTCGAGTTTGGATTTAGGGTGAAAAATACATGACCCGACCCGAAAAATATATATAATTTTATCTTATATATTTAAAAATAATTACAATAATATCCCTCTATATATAATTTTCTCCAATTAAGTCACTATTTTTATTGAATAAAAATAATATTTTTTATTATTTCGGGTTGGGTGAAATTTTGTTTTGGTTGGGTCGGGTCTTGGGTAGAGGATTCTTTGTTCTCAGGCCGGGTCGGGTGGACAAAAAACCCGACCTAACCCATGCTCATCCCTAGGTGTGGGTTCAAGTCTTAGATTGAGCAAAATTATGTCAAATTTATTTTAGGGTGAATTACGTGTTTAGTACTGAAATTATTAGTTTTAGTTCGTTCTAGTATCTAAATCTTCAATTTTTTTAAACTATACCTAAAGTTTAGTTTTTGTTTCATTTTACTACCCTTGTTAAAAATTTTACGTTAATTTTGGAGGGAAATAAAAGTTTAGGTATTAAAACAAACCAAAATTGATAGTTTAGATACTAAATGTGTTAAGTTTCTAATGGTGAGGTACTAAAATGAAACAAAAACTAAAGTTTAGGTATGATCTTGAAAAAAATATAAGTTTAGGCACTAAAATGGGCCAAAACTGATAGTTTAGGTACTAAATGTGTAGTTTATTCGTTATTTTAATAGGGTGGTGATTACAATTAAAAATATTATTTTATTGTTCACGTAGAAATTTAAAAATATTACAAAATATCATGTTATTTCTGTGGTTAAGTTTTTAACGTCGTGTTACTAAAATTGAAACAGAAACTAAACGTTAAATATGATTTTGAAAAAATTATAGTTGAGGTATTAAAATCGTAGTTTACCCTTGATTTAAATAAACCATTGTCCCCTATACTATGCACTTTGTATAGAGTTATCCCTAAAATATTTTTCATGACGTTTTACCTCCTAAAATTTTAATTGTTACATCGTTTATCCTAAATTACTAACTTTTTGAAATAAAAACTATATATTTAATCACTCAACTATTCTTGTGGTTCCATCTTGATCACCAAATTATTATTAATTTTTAAACAAGGATAATTCACAATATCATCACCGGATACCTCGTGTATCCAAACATACGTATACCCGATAATGAACACCCTAATTATTTATAATATTAAATAAGTATTTAGATTTAATTATTATTTCATTCTTCTTATTTTAAGATTTTATTGATTCTGTTTTTAACAAAGATTTTATTGATTTTGGTTACCTTCACATAAATTGATGTCCCTTTATTTGTTACACCAAATTCAATCAAATCAATTAAAATATTGTAAATAGATAATGTATATAAAGTAACTTAAATAGCATTTATTTATTAATCAAACGTTCTGACATTAGATTTCTCTGAAAGAAAAAAGCAAAATAGATATTTAAAAAAAAGGGTAATTTAAAGAAAAATGATAAACGAAAGAAGGATTACTGATTGATTATTTTCTTATATTTTCGTTTTAGAAATAAATACTTTTCCATAAAAATTTAAATATTATATGAAAGATTTTAAAAACATATAGTTAGAGATTTTATTAAAACTCATTTTAATATTATGAGATAATTACATGGTATTCAGGGTCTATTTTAGTCATTGACCCACACATGTAAACCTGAAACACATAGGAAGAACGATACTCTATTTTACTACCGAGGTCATTTGATGAGTTTAGATTTTATTAAAGTTAAATATAAGTATATATTAGATGCACGTCTAAATACATTAATACATACAAATCCATTCATTCCGGATTGAACTGAAACTTACCACAAAACCGCTAATTTTACAGTTAAAAGGTTTGATCTTTTCATTAGTTTGTCTTATAAATATACCTCATGAAAACCATTAATCTTCTACTTGAACTAATCACTAACCTCGCTTCTGAACTCAGCTTTTGACATTGTAGCCGTAGCCACTGCAACTAGCTTTGGTTCGTCGAATTTCAGTCGATCAAGATCAATCGTCTTATGAGAGTGAAACCTGTCTTCATATTCTCAAAATCCGGCTCAACTTGTACACCTGCAAGAACCAAAAAATTAAGATAAAAACGATCTCGAGAGCTCGACTGAAATACTGGATTTGTTGCAAGAACATTTGGTTGAACGAAGACTTCCGTTGAAAGAATCTGAATATTTTTTTGCAGCAAAGTATACAGCAGCAAGTTCATAATGCCAGCAGAACAGGTCGATTCGAACTCGTAAAAAGAAAACAGCATAATTTCATCGAGAATTACAAACCTGTGCAGTCCCACTAGGTAGTGGGACCTCAATGCAATTCCGTAGACCATCAACCCTGTGAAAATTAAGGTAATAGATTGTTACCATAAAACACAACAAACATATCCAGGTAAGTTAATAACTACCTTCTGCTAACAGTTCGTTGAAGATACTGTTCCTCCTTTATGATCCCCTGACCTCCGTATCGTATTTCATCGGTGTTCAGTATGACCTGTAACACCATACCACATATTTCATCAGTATTTTAATTGAACAGAAAAGCTACTAAACCGTAAATGATCCATGATGCATGAGCGCCTGTGTTCCTCAAAATGAATAGACGCAAAACTTATACGGTAGATAAACGTATATGGCAACAAACACAAAAGAAGTCATGAGGAAGAAATTTCGTAACAACCCGAACTAAACATTGTCGTTACCTGGTACTCTCCGGCTTCATCCACACCAATGCAGTATCTTTCATAAGAATCCGTGGGGTGAAAGTTAAATACGAAGAGAAGAGGACCTCTTATGTAGGATATTACCTAAGATATACAATTAACAAAATTAAAACGATGATAATACCATATTAACAGGAAAATAGCTGAGCTAACTATGAGAGAGAGAGAGAGAAGGAGATATACCATATTAGTTTCATTCACATGGTGGATATTGGGCAATCCTCTTGCAAGTACATTTTGGGTTTTGTCCAACTTCATCAAGTCCTAAAAGTCGAGAAGAAAAAAGTAAAATTTTGTACAAAAAAAAATGCTGGTTTTACTTGAAAATTTGCAGCCAAAGATAGAGAAGTGATCACAGTAATTGATGAAATATTTGCTATGATGAACACGGTAAAGGGATGATGGTAATCAAATAATGTATATGCATTAATAGTTCCGGCACATTTTCTGATTCTTAAGTTGCAAGAAACATAAAGAAATCGACCTTAGCACATGTACATGTCAATAAAAAAGGCACTACTGTATGCTAATTGAATTTTGCAACCTTGTCGAAGCGAAATAAATCCCGATATACTCCTTCCTTTTCTAAAAGATCCCAGCATCGGTTAGCCAGTGAAAATGAGTTGTTGTTGCTTGGCATTGGAAACTCAACCCTCTGGAAATGTCGAAAAACCATTTATCACAAGAAACAAAGTCTTCCAGGAAATGTAAAAGGAAAATCAGCCTCACTTTTGGATGCCCAAATTCGTTCCCCATGAAGTTCAGATATCCATGGCCACCAATTGCGAATGTAATCAGTTTGATCATCTAGTTTAAGGGAAAGATAATCGATTAGGAACCAATGTACCAGATTAAATCACTGAAGGTTTTTGCTATCAGTAAACCACACACACACATATCAAAACTATGACAGCTAAATGTTGCAAGCTATATTACTAAGACTTGAGAGTGAAAGTCAGACAGAGGTACGTATCTGTGTAGTGTAAACGCATTCTTTATAAGTTTTTTCATATATTAGAAGGGTTAGATATAAACCCATTCTAGAATAATGCTTGATGCATATACCGGTATGTCTCAGTCTACGTAGTTAGCTCTACAGATTGTTAAAATGAAAATGAATACGAACAAGCAAAAAAGGCAAACCGAACCAGCAGCAAAGAGTGAACAAATAAAGTGGAAATATCGATCACCTTGAGTAACGAAGACCCTCTTAGCAATAATTCATTTGATTGAGGACCTCTGTCATTTCCTTGGCCTAATAATATCTCTGCCAACGACCGCCCTCCAGATATCGACTGACATAAAAGATATCAATGACTTGGTAACATCATTCTAATATATTTACAACTCAAGAAGCGAAACCATTTGAAAATATAGCTCTCGATACAAAAAATACTAAAGTAAAAGCTTACTTGGTGGTGATTTTCGGCATAGATAAGCATTTTATCTGCATAATTTCTGTTGCCTAGCAATGTGCTTGTTATCTGCAGCATAAAAACACATAGAGTTTGAGTAAAATAGAATCTAGAAAAATGAAGAGTTTGAGTAATATAGAATCTATACTAATCATATAAAACAACCAACAGAACCTTGCTCATGCTCCACTCATGGTCAGGAGTGTTCTCAAGCAACGACAACCACATTTCTGATGCAGACAGATTGACGTAATAATCAAATCCGAGTCCACCTTGAGAAATTGGTTCGCATAATCCAGGGTAAAACGTCACCTGAGTATTAAAGTAGACAGAAATTAATAGTAAGCCCACAAACAAAATAAATAAAGCTCGATACAGAAATGTTCTCAACAGTAATAGCAGTTCCAACAAAATCTTCACATGAAAGTCAAAAACAGCCCGGCATTAGGGAAAAAAGAGTCTATCAAAGCAGTACCATATCCAAACATATATTAAATAAAGGAATCAGAGATCATAATGCAAATAATACAATTCATGCAACATTGTGTTGGTAAGCATGCTAAAACAAATTCAAAATAGAGACGACAAAATGGTACAAAGTCAAATTCATGAAGAAGTCAATTAAAGCCGGAAGGAAATGGTGAACAACCAACCAAAGGCAAACATGGTTAGCTAACAGATCAGTTGAGTGGGTATTTCGGCGTGGACAAAAAATTCAATTTCCAAAGATAGTTTAGAGAAAGCAATAAAACTATTGGCTATCCCCAAAGAGTACAGCTGAAAATCATAATAGTTACATCTTCAGCAATGGTTATTATATTCGGATGAAGAGCATGAAGTATCTCATTTGCCAAAATGAGGTACATCAAAGCATCCTTGTCAACATATTGATTGCAGTACCTGCAATAAAAGTATGAAATTTCTCAGATAATATCTTCTAGAGTGTGGAAAAAATTACGGAATAAAGGATAAAATGGTGCACTTAAAATATAGTAGTACCCAAGGTTTATGAAACATTCCTTCAATCTAGGTGGCCACTATAGTTTACCACAATGAATAATATGATGTCTTGTTGTTAGCTTAACTTATTTGGAATCTTACGTGTCAAAAATGTATTTATTTAGAATCGAGGCTACTCAGTCGCATAACTAAAAGATCAACTAAATCAGGCATTACAGACACAAAACTAACGACTTTCTCCCTTGGAAAGGAGGTTGCTACGAAAGAAAACATTCGATGTCTTACTCTTCCAGGTCACCGGAAAATGAAGCAAAGCCATTGTGCGTATAGAGCATCGATGCTAGTGAATGGAACTGGAAACCATCAATCTTATACTCGGAAACCCACCTGCACAAGGATTATCTCATCATCAATTCCAATACTGCCTCCCCAAATAGGAACATAAGTTGCTTCCCAAAAGATCGACTTACAATTCACAAAACCAAAATGAAAAAAAAAATGAAGAAAGTTGTTCACCACGTTTACCAGTTCAAATTCGAGAGGAGAAAATGCATTACATCAAGATCGCCATATTTAAACATTCGAGTACCCCAGTATTTGTGTTGTCCTCGTTTACCTAGAAGTGCAAACAATTGGAAATAACATCATAACATACAAATTTTCGTTGGTCAACCAGAAAATTTTTAATGATACAATGGTAACATTAAATATCTGACAAAACAAAAGGCATCCACAAGTTTTATGTCCCCCATCAACATTCCAAACAAATATTCCAAGATATTTCAAAAAGGCATCATACTAAAAACAAGTTTATTGCATATGTGGTAACAAGAACCAAATACAAAACACACCTTAGTCATTCAAAATGAAAATGAAAAATATTTACCGGTATGAAAGTAACAATCATTTGATCCATCAAAACGTGACAGGCCGACCATATCATCTGCAGCAGAGTAGGCTTGCACTATGTCTAGAAAAACAAGTAATCCCAGTCCTATACGAAAAAGGTTTGAAAGAGCAAGGTATTACACATATTAACCTGAAGACATGAACCACAATATAAAAAAACTAAGAAAGAAAGATATTATATGCAGATACAGACTTAAACATTCCTAGTATAGAACGAGCCTTTCAAGCCCATGATGTATTATCAATAGCCTATGAGTATTTCTGTTATACACTAGCTCGTATTTCTCTTAGACTAGCTTTAAGTCATGGCCATGTAGAAAGTCAATTTGATTGTACCGGTTTAAATTATGACATTCAGGATCTAATAACAGTAGAGCTTAAATCCCACATCATCTAAATTCATTTCATTCTTTAATTAACCTTTTTTTATTATATTCCTATGAGTTAATTTTAGTAGATATGCAGCAGTTCAGATGCAGTTAGTTTTTCAGTTGCAAAGACAACCAAAACTTCAAATTAACTGTGGAAACGAGGGAGTTGCAAAAAATAGCGACCGTGTGCTTCGTCAACCAAACGCTTGAAGTCCTCTGGTGTGCCATATCGGCTGCTAACTGCAAAAAAGTTTGTGACCTGCATCACCAAAGAAATGTTAGATATCACAAAACTATAAAATAAAGATGGGAATGACTAGGCTGTGGAAAAAGTAGAAAACGGTAACAAGCAATCACAGGCATTTTTAGTATGATGAGGTTAGAAATGCCCTGTTTCATCTAGTAATTGTTTGTCACTTAATGGCAAGCGGTGAAGCTAAAGCAACAAGAACCTTGTGCTTCCAACCACTAGCAGCAAGGTTAGTTATATATTTGTAACACTAAATGTTTAGTTCTGCTGCATCGGCAATTTGTTTCCCTGTGCTCAGAACATATAATTAAATTGACAATTGTAGTTCAAAACAAGTTATATAATGTACTAGAGGCATGAAACAGAAGGATTCTCAGTCTTCAGAGGATTGAAACAAAGAAGCGCAAAAGTCCACAACTTGCGGAACTCAAATTAATAAAAATGCAAATATTAGAAAAGAAAGGAAAAAAGCAGAATGTTTAACTCACTCTATAACCAACTGTGAAATAATCTTTATGTTCAACAATCCCAATCAACTGGATTGCATTATATCCAGCTCTCTTTATATGGGGAAGAACCTGCACATAGTGTAAAAAGATGAAAACAACAGCCAATTTGCAATAAATTAAGACATATGAACAATTCAACAGTTAAAGAGGCACCTCCTCCGTAAAATCATTGAAAGAAGATATTTTGGGCTCTGATCCACTTATTCCAACATGACACTCGTATATGCGCAACGACTTTGGGGCTTTTGTTGCCGTGTGCTTCCACTTATATGTGGATTCAGGGGGTGGTTCCCAATGAACTGCATAGGCTTGCTTTCCCTCTGCATCTGAACATAATCAACAAAGTTCAAGACATTGCTGGAATGGAAATGATGCACAAAGATGAACCAGGAAATGACAACCATCTCTGTGCAGCAATTACCTGGTTGAACAAAAGTAGCCCAAGCTGGAACTCGCTCTAACGGGCCATCAGGAGTATTGAAATACACTCTATACTTGCTTCCATGAGGAATAGCAGGAGTGTACTTTTTCAACCAAGCCTTCCTTCCTTTGCGAGTCTCAGTCCAGTACGGTAAGGGAGGCTTCTTACCTCGGAATTTTTGTTGCCATGCAGGATCAGCCATAACATTGAAAACATCATATTCTTTTCCATCATCAATCACATCAAATGGAGGCAAGTTACTTGGTGGATCATCTTTATGCAGTTCCTCATGCGCCCTATATCTGGTTTCTGCATCAGGTATTTCACCTAACTCCTCTATGGTTTGAGGTCCATTAGGCCCGAATAGTCGTTCATACAATTTAGCTGGCAATTCAAGACGGTTTTTAATAAAGCGGTCTTCTCCAGGTTCCCAGTATTCATCATTTGCTCTCTGAAAGACCTCTTCAATGGTAACACCACTATCTCCTTTATCATAATCATCAACATAGTTATACTGTTGAAAATACAGTTCATCCGGTTTTTCTCCTTCCCTTAATTTATCTTCAAGAATTATAAACCAGTATCCGTAATCGTCATGGCCAAAATGACCCTCTCTTGCAGTATTCTCTGTCGGTGACCACCCGTTGAAGTCACCAACTAGTGCACAATAACGGGCACCTGTTTACAATAAGCTCAATTTTCACTAATGATGAACAATCGTGCTACTGGCTGAGATACAACTACAAGTAGGTATATTTACATTTCTCAAACACATACATGTTCAGCACCTAGCTCTGAAAAGTCAATCAGGCAATATACTTAATCAAGTAAAGTGAATTTTAACTAAAGATTAATAAGAGCTAAACATATTGAAAAACTTGTACAATAAAAACTTATGTAAAACATATTTTAACCAAGTACACTGAATGATCAAAACTAATGTAAACATAGAAAAGCTCATATGTCAGAACTCATATGAAGAGCCCCATCAGGTAAAATACTTAATCAAGTAAACCAAATTTTAACCAATGATTGATAAGAGCTAAACATATTGGAAAGCACACATTATCAAAACCAATGTATACAGAATAGTAACCAAGTAAACTGAAAGATCAAAACTAAAGTAAACATAATGAGAAGCTCATATGATTGCAATCATATGAAGAGTCCATGAGGTAATAATTAATAAACTTAATAAACTAAACCGAATTTTAACCAAAGATTAATAAGAGCTAGACATAAAAAACTCATACTTTAAAATCAAATGTAAACCGAATTTTAACCATGTAAACAAAATAAAAACTAATGTAAACATATTGAGAAGCTCACATGACTAAACTCAGAGGAAGAGTCCTAAAGGTAACATACTTAAACTGAATTTTAACCAAAGTCAAATAAGAACTGTACATATTGGAAAGCTCATATGATCAAGCCACATGTAAACATTTCGAAAAGCTAATATGATGAAGTTCATTTCATATGAAGAGAACAATCAGGTAATATACTTAATCAAGTAAACCAAATTTTAAGCGAAGTTATAAGAACTAAACATAGTGAAAAGCTCCTATGATAAATGTATCTTATCTGAAATAGAGCTAAAAAATTGGGTTTGAATTTGATAGGAATATACGCTTAGGCCAAACCTGGAGCCCAATCCATATAATCCACTCGATGCTCCTTGTGTCGATGCATGCCCAATATCTCAAATCCCGAAGCCATTTCCTGGAGATTGTGGTGGCGTGCAAAAATTTCAGCTTTTAGATCCTTCAACGATTTATGCCTTCAAAACAGATTCAAAAGATGATGATAAATTGCAAAACACTATGTGCTAAATAACATTAATAAGAAACAATCCAATGCTTATGAATGCAGAGGAGGAGGAGGAGGAGGGGGGGCTTCGTTTTTTAAAGCACGTGCACAAAAGAAAAAGAAAGATTACTGCTTCTAAGCATACACCCCAAGCATTCCAAGCTCTTTCCTTATCAATTCTTTCCAGCTGATAAAATCATACTCTTTTTCCCTCCACTTTGTAGTTAACCAAACTCGACATAAACAACCCTTCTTTTTCATCTTCACTCAAAACTTTTAAAAGAACAGCTAAATTCGGCGTTACTAACTAAAAACAATCTAAAATCACTTCATTTTAGCTAAAAACAATACCTTTCACGAAGAAACTGGGCAAAGGCCTTATGGGTAATTCCTAGCTTTGTCAAAAAACCAACTGGATCAACTCCTTTCTCCGTTTCAGCCACACTTTTTTTCTTTCTGGTGAATCTTTGTTGTTGGGGGTCTGTAGAAGAGCATTTTATTTTTATTTTTACTTTTCGTGTGAAGAAGATTATTTGAGGCTTGCTTCGGGGTTGGATATGGATAATTGAGTTGTTTGGATATAGAGAAATTTTGGGTTCGATACAAAGTGAAGCCATTTCTGAGAAAATTGAGTGAGGTTTAAGATAAGAGAAGACGTGCATCGAGTTAAATCAGAGGTTTTTGAGTTGACTCGGGCGAAAATTAGGATACGGTCGAAAATTTCATAAGAAATTTAACGAAATTGACTTATAATATTATAGGGTGAAACCAGGTAATATTATATTAAAAACTTCATTAATTATTCTTTTAACAGTAATCCCTTAGTAGATTTATCAAAAAAATAACTTAAATTACATACGTAGAATTATCTCGTGTCCTATTCAACGTGAGAACGTGTCTCGCTATCCACAAGGGCAAGGAACGTACGATGTGGACGACCTTTTCAGATGACGTAATTTAATATTAATATTCAAGGTACATCGCGTTTTCCAAAGTGTGAGATCTTTTTGAATTAACTTAATCATTTTATTTTTATTACATTGTATTTAATAAAATTACATAAACTCTACATTTTATTTTGATTACGTAATATTTAGTGTAATAACATTTTGAAAAAGTAGATTCTCATACAAATAGACACTAATAACGCCAATAATATTAAACATGTAAATTGTTATATACTAGACACTAATAATATTGAACATGATAGTCATGTACAACATGACGAAACAAACTTGCTTCATTGTTCCAAAAACAATAACCATATCAAGTACATAGATTGTCATAATATATGCACCAATGTTGGAGGTTTGAATTACAAGCATATTTGGTAGGACAATTGCAGTCTTCGATTTGTTCTGGGAAGTCAACGTGGTGACAATGCCACGACTGTAAATGTAGAAACAGATTCATCTTCGGACGAAGAACAAGTAAATTTATTTTCGAGAGATAAAGAGCTCTCATGATTTGAAGTCCTTTATCCCTCGATTACTTAGATGGCGTTGATATTACCTCCATCGGCCGCTTGCTTCAATAAATGTAGACCGAAGAACGAATTTTTTCCACTAAAAAAATTAACATGCCTTCTTTAAATAAAGCTTCACGATTGTTAGCATGAAGACATATTTGGTGAATCATTTATCGGGTTGAAACCATGGCATGATGCTAATATTTTTCATGGAAACGTTCTTCAAAATGTAATCCTGATCGGCAGCTTTATGAAAACTCTTACAACTCAAATGCGTGTTGACGAAATAAAGGACGGTGTTAGAAGCAACATGAAGTAGAATTTTTGTTAAGACTTCTCTCGAAAATTCAGCAATATTAAAGACATTTTTTTGTCATTTTCCTTTGAAATTGGGGTAGGAAACCTTCCAAAATTGGTGCTTATTTATAACAAGCCTCACACTTGTCCCGAAGTGAGGATTCGATGGACCTCGCTTTTCCTAGGACTAGAGGTACACATTGGAAAGGCGTGTCATTTTAAATCGAATAAAATCCAATAGTTCAGACGCAACTCACGTTCCACATGACACGAAGTATTAATTAATGCAAAAAAACCTTAAAATCAATAAATTTGTACCAAATATGGAGTTATTATTTTTAAAAACCCCGAAGCTAAAAAATTGGTGATAAAAATTTTTGTTGAGTAATCTGAGATGTTAAACGAAACTTCTGTGAAAATGTTTGAGGTTACAAGCGTAGTTTTGCAACTTATATTTCAATTGAAACTGATGTGAACACATATGATAAATTTCAAATAGGGAAACGATTTATGTAAATAAATTAAGCGATTTTTACATTTTAATTTTAGCGCACAGTAAGGGAAATGAGAAATAGATGTTGTCTTCCATAATAAACAAATACCGCCGCGCTAGAGAAACGCGAAGGAAAACTTTGTTTTCTTTCTTCGTGCAGTTGGTATTGTGTATAAAGGAAAAAGCTTAGAAGGGTTTCTCAAAAGGTGTTCGCCTGGACCTAGTTCTTGGAGGAAGAGTTCGGAAGGCCCAAAAAGAAATCTAGATGCCACCAGAAGATGATGCTTTAACACTGTTCTTGGTACCTTTAGTACAAAATGCAAAGGAGAAAACGTAGCACTGTTTCAAGAAGTATGCAAATGAAATCCAAATCCCATCAAAAGAGGATGCATTTTTCAAACTAGAAGTTTTTTGAGTAGGTTTCACGGATATGGTTTGGTTCGGTGGAGTAAGAGGAATTTAAGTAGACAATAGTATGGAATATATGTTGCTGGGATTCAGGAATATAGTTAGCGACTCGCGTTGTGTAAGACGGAGGTACACATCAAACCACCATATCAAACCAAATGCTACTACGTCAGGAATATCAGGAACTCGTACTTTACAAAATGCGAGGTTCTTACCATGTTAAGACAAGTCAAGAATATTCCATGATGCCCAAGTCTCTTCTGTCAAGTAGCTATTCTATTAAAAAATGAGACTTCTATTACAATTCGTATTTCAAGCAAATAATGGTGAAGAATCAAAATACATACACAAAAGTTAAAGCAAAGAAGGAAATTTATCAGCGTGCTTAATCGCACTCATAAATTCATTTGACACTTATTGATTATTACATAGTTTGAAGGCATTGTCATTTTGTGAATATTTTGATCTTCTTTTTTCTTGATCGTATATATTTTCAAAACATGTCGAGGAGAGGAACTATTACTGCTTTGGTATACTATGATGGCATAATTATGCTTGATGATTCTCTTGGCATCGTCTTTCAGTCCGCATATAATGTGACGATGACCTTGTCGACGAAATTAACTCATAAGAAGATGACAAAAGAAGTCAATAGTGTTGTTTCACATGGTTACAGGAAAACTGAGAACATTGAAGTATCGACAACCGACTTCGTTAGAACCACTAACGTACTCAAGATGCAGTGTTGATGATGATGGTGATGTGGACATGATGATCGATTGCCATATGCAATATTCATTAGGAGGGCCACTTGAGTTGTTTGCAGATTTCTCATATGATAATAATGCTACAGCTATCCCAAATTTGAGACGGGTTGATTTTGACTTTGATCCTAGTGTCTATAGTCCTACAACTAATTTACGTAGCGACATGAACTTATTGAGTGTTACTGTTTGAGGCAATGACGTTGGCAAATCATCTTCTTTGATGCCAAGGTGTTCTTGCATCGCTAGCTTGGACTTTGAATTGAATCTTGCATCTAGAACGTATAATCCATACAACAGTGGCTTGGGTGAATCATCTTCTCAGTGGGAAATGAGGTTGCAAGAAGATGAAGAGTTTAACCTATTCAAATATTTTCCAACATTTATAGGGAGACATTCTTGTACTGGTATCATCGACTTTGATCTTCGTATTATAGTTTATGAACGGTCTCGTGATCGACATACAAGTGTTACCCCTACTGTCCCCATAGTTGATAACACTGAACTATTCCAATTTGATGGGGATATTTTCGACGAAGATTCATTAAGGGAGATCGACCCAAATGGTGATGAGGTGGGTCCCTTCAATGAAGAACTAAATGGCCTTGACATGCCAGAGGGAGCGAACGATGATGACATTCCACATGTCGTGCCTCATATTTCTTATTACCGGCTACCATGCCACTTTACAACAGTTGAGATGGAACCTTTAAACACTATCAACTTTCCAAAATTCTCACAACTTGAGCAATACAACGAACATGGTGATAGTGAGCTCTATTTTGGAATGACATTCAGAATAAAAGAACTCGTCATGGCTGCAATTAAGAATTATAATGTACGTCGTCGTTTACATCGACTGTGAGAAAAACAGACTCAGATAAGTACATCGTTGAATGCATCCGCAAGTCCAACGGATATAGTTGGAGGGTTCGTGTATCACGCTTGAAGAGGTTGAACAACCTATGGAAGCTAAAAATATACGAACAACCTAATACATGCACCGCTAACAGGCTCACTCAGGATCATCCAAACTTAGATGTTCACGTGCTTTATGATGCCTTTATACATTGGTCAAAGAAAATCCATGCATTATGGTTTCTAGTTATATTGTTACTGTTGAAACGATTTTTTTCTGAAAGGTGAAAAATTGAGATTTTAAAAAACCACATTAATTTTTAATTTACCTCTTTCAATTGATTTTTAATTTAAAAACAAATGCGATTTAAAAATATCTCGTTTCTAAAAATTTTGGATTTCCTTTACGATCGAAAAAAATACGGTTCAAAGAGTCACCACCAATCTTTGATTAGGGTGTGATTGGACACCCAAAAACATTTTGTCATTTTAAATAAAAATTAATTTTAATTAAAACAACAAATTGAGGTCTGCGTTACCAAAAAATGAGTTCGGGAGTCGATTACGTGTGGGGAAGGATTAGCACCCCCACAACGCCCTAAATTTGTACCTAATCGATTAATTAACGTCTTTGCAATGAACTTTATAAATTCGAATTTAATTTAATTTTTGATCCCGTAAAACAACAAAAAAGTGAATTTTACAATATTCAAAAATACTCAAAATAATTAAATTAAAATTACCAAGTCGTTTTAGAAAGATAAAGAATGTTCGATTATTTACAAATATCGAGACCAGATCTTAAAGATATAACAACCTTTTCTCGATATATTTAAATAAACGAACATTTCTTTTTCTCTCGTTCTCAAATTTTAGGTGACGAATCAATTTTTTAGTTTCACTTTAGGGATACACTTTTATTTTAAAATCATTAAAAGCAGACCTCAAATCAGTTATGACTGCCCACTTACAACAATTTTAAATTAAAAGGGTATTACCCTTAATCTAATTATGTAATATGTCGAGTTATGCAAATGAGGTTACCATGCGAATCGTGCAAAAAAATGTCATGTCAAAATTAATTAAACAAAATTAAAAATATCATACAACGTGATATACAAAAAATTATATATACATATTTTAATTAAAAATCATAAACCATGCATATTAACATATTATGTATACATGTGACCTAAATATAAAAACAAAATCATAGCATGCTAAATTATAAATTAAAATATATATATGTACATATTAAAAAGTGACAAAATTAAATAAATGTAAAATTCAACATACAAATCAAAAATAAATTAGGGACTTGAATAAAAAACGCATAAATATAGAGGATTTAACATAAA